TATCTTCCTCCTCCGAGCTCCGTTTTATGCATTTTAGGTGTCTATGGACTCGTATTTTCGTGCTCTACAACTCTATGGGTTTATTTTCTTAAAAAAACGTCAATTTTAAAGACCCAAAAAAATGGTTCGAACGGCCGACGTTGGAAGCTTCAGAAAGTAGACTTCGATCACGTTTTTAAGCCTTACGGAATAACAGGTAATGTTTTCGAACTTCACTTATATAAATGGAGTGTTTATGTGAATTTAAAACACAAGCATATAGAGTTTGAATTGCATACGGCATATTCACGATGCAGCGGAAAAAATGAGCGTGTAATATATATATATGCACACATATATTGAGAGCCTCAAGAACATCTCGGCTCTGATGCCAATGTAAGAAAAATTTCAGAATGGATCGAAAACATACCAGGTCGGATCTCGGGTCGGGTCGGTCGGATCTTCTTAGCTCACGCTTAAGCTAAACTATAAAAGTCTGAGCTTTTAAGTGCACAGCAGAGCACCTCTTTTGCAAGAAAGAAAATAAGAGAGAGAGAGAGAGATAGTAGGAAAGCTCTACTACTGGAGTGATTTGAACTGATGGGGGAAGCCTCTATTTATAGCTTTTGTCAGGGATATTTTGGGTGGCATAAAAATATCCACTGAGCCCATCAGATAAAATCCGAGATAAGATATAATATATTCTTATCTCATAATATCATGATATTTGAATTTAAATCCAGAATCAATCACAATTAATTCTAAATATATATACTTAATATATATTTAATCTACACAATATAAATTAATTAATTTAATATAAATTAATTAGATTTATATCGTAACCGATTGGATATGATTCAGGGTGTTTGACCAAGTCAAACATATCACAATATCGCTTGGATATTTGACTGATATATTCTCTTTATACCCGGTCAAATAATCCGGCCCATCAAGGGCGAATCCAAGCCCAAAAATCTAACAGAATCAAACACTACAAGAATTATCGCCATTTTATTCCCTTACCTATGTCCAGTTCGCTTTAGAATATATACTTTTTTTCCAATTATGATAATCTAATCACAATTGTACCTGTAGGTTTTGTGCTCCGCTCGCTTAGAACTCTTATAACTCCAAGGTTTTGTTTGGTACAAAGTATTGAAAATGAGAGATTCAGATTACAATTGAGAAAAATTATTAAAACAATATTTACCATGAGTAATTGCTTGTTATATGAGATTAGGCGAGCCCATAGGGGTGAGATTGGGAAATACCATTTCCCCCTATGGTATTCCTTAATCCTATATTCGTGGGTTTGGTTAATCCCTTACAACAAGCAATCTTTTATGTTAAATAATCTTTTAGTAGATTTTTCTTAATCCCAATCTCAATCCCTACCCCTAATTTTTAATGCTTCCTATGAAACGATTCCTAAGGTTTTTTTGGTACGCAAACTTGAATTCTAAGGGAATGGGATTCAAAGTGGGAGTAGGAGTGGGGATGAGAATAGACTTTAAAATTATGTTTGGTATGAAGTAATATTTGGGGGATGTTTATATCAATTATATTTTATATTCAGTCATAAATTATACAAAGACTCATATGCCCCTATAATAAACGAAAATAGGAGTTTATGAAATATTAGCGGAACAATTTGGTAAAAATAATGTTTAGTCCCATAAATGATCTTCTAATACCATGAGAGGTGGTAGTATTACGCAATTATTAGTATTGTTTAGTGTCTCATATCCAACATATTAAAATGAGCTATAGCAATGTTAATGCCAATCCCAACCCTCCTAATGTCCTAAGGTCCTATTTGGTATGAAGCATTGAGGGTTATAGATAAGAATTGGGATTGGGATTAAAAAAACATATTAAAAGAGTATTTGATATGAGAGATTATTTGCTACTTGAGATTGAGTAAATCCATATAGGTATGATTGGAGAATGTCACTTTTCTCTAGGGTATTTCTCAATCCCTCCTATATGAATTTGTCCTATCCCAAGTAGAAAGCAACAACTCATGTCAAACACTTTTTTAAAGAATTTTTTCAATCCTAATCACACGTCATCTTTCATTGCCAATGTTTTGTACCAAACAATACCTAAGGTTTTGCACAAGCTCAAATAAGACTAAGAAAACAGATGAAAAAATAGTTTCTTAGAAAAATGCTTTCAACAAGGAAATGGCGAAATTTTTAAGCACACAAATTTCCAGATTACAATATTGATATTTCGAAAAGCACATGATGAAGCTTGCAAGGATAATGGTCTGTTCGATCTGTTCTATATTTTTCATAGCCAATCCTTCATCTTTCTATATTTGAAGCTTTTGAACTTGAACGTTGATGGGGCTCCTCCATGAATTTACAAATCATGCACAAATCTTCTTTTCATTGTTGGTCCAACGACTATAATTTTCTCTTTGATCATTCTTGTGAATTATTCGTTGTTTCCTAATTCTGAAATAAAGACAATAATCTCAATTCATCAAGATTTATTTGGTTCAAAAATATCAAATATTATTTAAATGATTTTAATAAATTTGTTATCATAAAACTAATAGCAGCTTAACTTTGAAAGTCAATGGTTCACTTCTCAACATTGTATATCCACAATTATAAATTATTTCATATATTTAAAAAAAGGCAAAGAATAAAAATAAATTTTCGATAGCGGATGTTAAAAATAATGACATATAAGTGTAAAATAAATATATTAAAACTAAATATAGACGAAACAAAATCAACAAAATCAATTATTGCAAAGATGCACCCAAGGCGAGCCTTGTTCCCAAGTTTATGAAATTCTAGTCTTACCCGCCTATCTTGGACCCGAGAAATGGCTGAAATGGGTTAAATTAAAACCCAAACAGAAATCAAACCCAGCCTTTTGCTTCCCGTTACACTTTCGAATCCCAAAAGAGATAGAGAGTGTATTAAATGGGCCTAATGCTTAATTAGATGGGCTTAAGTGGCAGGAAGTAATGTAATCATAAAAATGATAAACTAGTCTCTTATAACTTGACGAACCAAAATTTAAATCTTTATTAAAAGAACTGTTACTATCTAATACCTAATAGTATCTCGAACAATACTACTTTTAATAGAAAGATACATATGCCTAGCAAAAACAAAAAAGCAAAACAAGAGCGAGCGAATGTGTTTGAAAATCAATCACGTATAAGTTATTAATCCATCAATCAGTCAATACTCCTTCCCTTTTTTTTTTTTAATAAGAGACAATTATCCGGACTACAGTGATAAAAAATGGCAAATGAAAAGTATATATTTGATAATTTGACTTTATATAGGATTTCAATTTCGTCTCTTAATTTTAAAAAAGTTTTTTTAGTCCTTTAGTCTTAAAATCATCAGGCTTAAACAATGAGTTTTTTATAAAAATTGTGATTGTTTTGAAAATTAAATTTAATATGTTAGCAGCAGTTTGAGATTTTTTTTCAGGTCACTCATCCCCTTCCAGTAATTTATCTTGAGATTTTGGTCTTTTAGGGCTCTCTAAAAGTCCTAACGTGTCAAGAGCTCAAATATGAGTCCTAGCCAGACTCAGTCTCCTATAAATACCCTTTTGTCTACGCTATCTTTAACAAGTTGAATGAGGAGAACTAATCAATCTCTTTTGTCATGAGCATTGTTTATTTTTAGTGTCCTGAATTAAATAATCTTGTGATGATTTGTTTCATCTTTGCAGCGGTGGTTGGAGCCATATCTTCACCTGGTTTCTAGATCTACAAGCAGGCGAACTATACGTTGATTTTTATAATAATTGCGACCTTGAAGGGTATGAAAAAAATACACACACCATTTTTTTTTGGTTAAGCTAAATCCAGTAACCCGAAATATTTTGTCAAGTGCGTTCAACATTCTAAAGTATTTTGTTGTACATCTACCATCCAAAATATTTTGTATTGTAATTTTTCTCTTAAAGTATTAATTTTTTCAAAAGCAATTATGCCTTTAAACTATTATTTCATAAACAATTTTAATTTCGTCATTAATTCTCAAATGGTCAAATGCATGTATATCAAGTATCATAAAATATTTTTAGGATGTTAGACGCACCTAAAAATTAATTGATAGTGCTGAATGAATTACAAAATATTTTAGGGTATTAGATATATTTAAAAAAATTATTTCAGAATGATAGATGTATCACAAAATATCTTAGGATGATGGGTAAAATGTTTTAAGGTGATGGGAGTATCCAACCTTTTTTTTCAATTAAATTAGCGCGTGCCGTGTTTTGTTTCTCAGGTCCAACTGTCCAAGCCTCCCACGACTATTTTCCAGGTCCCTCTCCTCTTCGGTTAACTGTTGTCGAAGTTTATATTGGTTAGCGGTTTTATAAGCACACGCATCAAAATATATTTCCTATATATTCCACGTATTAAGACAAAATCCATAAAAAAAAAATCACGCTGTCTTAATTATTGCTCAGATTTAATGCAAAAGTTTGAGTTAATACATTTAATTTACTTTTTGTATTTTTATAATAGTATATTGGTACATATATTATTGCAATATACCGAGTATATATATTGAAGGATTTGGAAAGAGTGATGTGATACCTCCGAATTGAATTTAAACACAAACATATACATAAGGTGGCAAAAAGCAAACAAGATATATGAAGTAGAATTTATATTATTGAATCTGGCAAAAAAAAAAAGAATATATATTATTGAAAAGGAAAATTTGAGAATTCATTTTCAAATTAAAACACACGGAATAATGCTTCTATTTTGGCTAATTAAAACGCGGCATGTTTCTTCTTAAGAAGTTTCTGAGAAGGCGTATTATTTAGACTATTATACGTTATGTTTCATAGACGGTCGTCTTACAAACGAATATTAATAATGATGACTTAATCAATAAGAAATTATCATAAAAAATAAACCTATAAATACCTTAGCTTCCCACATAAACCCTCAACATCGAACCAAAGCAATAAACATACATCATTATCATTATCATTTGAAATACCTTCCCTTTATACAGCCAAGTCATCGACCACCATGTCCGAAGGCCATCACCACCAGCACCACCGTGACCACCACCATCACAAAGAAAATCCGGCCAGCGAGATTGACTACAAGAAGGAAGAGAAGCACCACAAGCATAAGGAACATCTCGGAAAATTAGGAGCTGTTGCTGCTGGCGCCTTCGCATTGGTATATATATAATATCATTCAACATAAATTGATATGCAATTAATCATTAGTTATTGTTGATAATCATGATTAATTTGAAGAAATTGACAATATAATGAAACTGTTGGTTGCAGCATGAGAAGCACAAGGCGAAGAAAGATCCAGAACATGCACAGAGTCATAAGATAAAGGAGGAGATTGCAGCCACTGTTGCAGTTGGAGCTGGTGGATATGCGTTTCATGAGCATCACAAGAAGAAAGAACCCAAGAAGAAAAGCCAAGAGGCTGATGGAAAGAAGCATCACCATTTCTTTCACTGATATATATATATTAGCTTATGAAGAATACATATATATATATATATATATATTGATCTGGGGAGCTCAGCTTATTGCTGGATTTGTTCTGTTCTGTACTATATATATGCTCTACTGATTCGTACAAGGTATTACACTATTCAGTGTTCCTACACAAAGTAGTAATACCTTGCAGTATTAGGAGAGGATATGTAAGAACAAATTAGGAGAGAAGCTGAATTCATATCTGGATAATAATCATAGTCCCTTTTTTTTTTTTATTAATTTGTTTGTGTGTATGTATTTGCTTTATATACCAGCAGAAGTTTTGTGATATATGTATGATTATTTATTTGTATGACTTTATATATATGTATGTGTGAAATACAAATTTGTGTCTGATCTATTCGACAATTGTTGCTTCACCTTACAGACAGTACCCACACACACACGTTCCGCATTGTTGTTAGTTTTTTTTTTTTAAAGAAAAAAACAGTAGATAAGGGAAGAAAGAATCAAACATACAAGAATTATCCTGATTTTGGGCAAATCAAACCTATCAATTAAAATGACATCATCAATGTGTTCCTGTTTGGTAATTGATTCTGCAATTGAGATCAAACAGTCCATTGGAAGTTAGTTGGCTATTTATTATGATCAACACAAATAACCACCTCTAATCCTAAATATAAAAATTAGATAACTAATTTATATAAATTAAATAAATTAGTTAAGTTGAGTAATACTTCCTGTATTTAATATAAGAGCTAGTTGGATAATCAATTTGATCTTAAATATAATATCTTAGTCCACTTTGTCTATAATATTTATTATTTTGCCCTCAAATAATCCTTATGATGATTGAGTTTTCATCAATTGGTAGTTCACATGATTAACAAGGGTATTTTAGGAAGTACAATATATATTTATCACAAATAACTAGCTTAACTAATTTCCTTAATATTCATAAATTAGTTATCTAACTCTTATATTAAGGACCAAAAGTAGTGTTAAAAATGCATGTTAGCTTTCTTATAGTCATTTGCATGACTTAGAAACTACTCCTCTGGTCCTATTTATAAAGTAGAGAGAAAAATATTGCTTGGTTTTATTTATAAGTCACTTTCTTAAATTTTTAACATGAATATACTATTTTATCTTTAATTTATTATAGTGTAGATAGTTATTTCTTTTAAAAGATTTATATACCAAATAGGGATAAAGTTGAAAAGTTGTTATATTTTAATAAAGAGTTAAAACATTTTAAAGGTTTTTGTTTTGTCCGTGTGAAAATGGTAGACGTGTCTTATAAATAGGACCAAATGAGTACTTCTTAATCAAAACCTCCTTAATAGATATAATCAATAAGTAAATATAAATTTGAAAGACAAAATGGATTGAATTTTTATAATTGAGACCAAAACTAACCCATCTCACTCTAAAACGCAGGAAATTAGTAATGTAATTTCTGTTCCTAATTGACGATGGATTAAAAATGTAAACTTTTTGCTATTAATCTATTGCTAATCCGTTACTAATTAGCAATCAAATTCATAATTTTATTGACAATTTCATCATTAATTAAATTTTGTCGACAATCAAAATTTCGTCACTAAATCACATTGCCAATTTTAAAGTTAATTGGGGGTTAGAAGTTGGCTGCGGAAAACATGATCCCAAACATGAGATTTGGACCTGAAGTAGCTTTGCTGACGGCTAGAAAGTGGGCTTGGGTCACTGAAATATGATACCAAGCATGGTCATAAACAGCTACATTAAGCAGCCGTCATTGTTACCCCAAAAAAAATGTGGATGTACGTCACATCCTAAAAATTTTTACCTAACTATAAGAGATTAAAAATTGGCATGAGAGTTAATATAGAAACTAGATAGAAAGATGAAATAACTTTTGATTTGAAACCCCGATAAGGTCCGGATTGGCATTTTCGTAATTATCAGTCTAGAAAAAGCAAAACAGGAAAATTTGAGAAAAATTCTAGAAAATTCTCAAAAAATAGGAAATTATAAATTGAAAGTTTTGAAAACTTGGTTGAGGTCTAAAAGGTAAAATTACGGTAAAAATGAATTGTTATGTAATTTCTCATAAACAAAGGTTTTTCAGAAAAATATTAGAAAATTGAAGAAAAATAATTATTTTAAGTAGTTGAAGCCTCAATAAATTTGGGAGAAACATGGATAATTCATTTAAATATTTATTGGAATTTATAAAATTATTTTTAGGCCTTGAAAGTTCAGGAATTAATTTTAGAGAATTTATTTTTTCCTCAGATTTCCCCATAGATGCCTAATCGGAGAAAATTCAAAATAAAACCTAAAAGTGGCAAAAAATTATGAAAATTTTCAGATCATATCCTCATATTAAAAGGTAAATTATCATGGAGAAAAATGAATTTTTGGAGGTCTAAAAAAATTATAGAATGTTACTAGTGAATAGTAACTGATAAAATTTCAAATTAGTTTGAGATAGTGATTTGGTTTGTGGGTCATCTTTTTGGACCAGACCAAACCTTTTGTGGGGCCCACATTGAGCCCAATAAGGGCCCAATTTCGTGCAGCTTTCAGGTCCCTCTATTTTTATTAAAATAAATGTGAAATTAAGGGATATTTGTGTAGAAAAATCTAGAGAAAAACCACATGGTGAGATCTAAAGATTTGAGGCACTTGATGGCTGCCAACTCACCCCATTTTTCTGCCATTTAGTCATTCAAAATCAGAAGGGGAGGTAGCTTAATTTTTTTTCTATAAATACCCCCTTAGAAAATACAAATAAATGTTGGAAAAATTGGAAAAATAAGGAGAGACTCTGTCGATGTAGCTCCAGCTATGTTTCTTCAAAATTCTTGAGTGTTTTAGGCAAGGAATCATCCAACTTGCACCAAAGGAACATTAAGATATTTCTAAGCATCATTATCCTTAAGTTTTACATTGATTGGATTAGGATTTTGGCTTGGAAAATCATGGGAAAATACTGTAAAATTCGGTCCAGTCATGTGATGCTTAGGGTAGGATAGAAACCTTAATAGTCAAGTGGAATAAGGAAGATTAAATGGTTTATGGATGGATTTTTGGATGAAATCAAAGTTAGGGTTTAAGGGGAAAATTTTCTGTCAGCATTGTTCGTGTAGGAGTTGATTGTTTTGGCTTGATTTATGGTTCTAATGGCTTTAAAACATGTTTTTATGTAGGGATATGTTGTTGGAAAGTGTTTAAAATCATTGGAATCAAAAATAAAATTTTTGAAAATATATAACCCCCTACTCAGCCAATCATTGTTCATGGGGGGAGGAGTTTGAATTTTAAAAATTTGATTGCACCATTAGATTCCTTATGAAAAATTTTATAGGATTGAGCAATAAGGTTATTGATTCTAAAGGAGGAATCATATGGTTAAAAATCAAAGAAAAAGAGGGAATCATTGAGTTAAAGTTTAAGGGTTGTATTTAAGTGATTTAGGAATTAATGTGGCCTATGTTTATGCTTGGTTTAATAGGCATTGTGAGGAGTGTTAGAATTACGGTTTTGATGATAACAAATTAAGGAATCTATGTTGATCGATCACCTGATCGATCAAGGGACTATCGATAACTTGACAGATAATATTTCTGTACAAACAAGTAACTAAGCAGAAACATTGATCGATAACTCGATAGATAATATGTTAATCGATCAATTGATTGATCATTGTTAACTCAGTTATGTATAAAAGTCTGCAGAAAATTATCGATCAATTGATCGATAATCAAATGATTGAATAACTGTCAGATAATGGGAAACAAGTCTGGTAAGCATTTATCGATCACATGATCGATAAATAGATCATCGATGAGGAGACAGATAAATGGTAAAGCACTCTACTCACTTTGTATTTTGTCTTAATCACCATTTATCGATCACTTTATCGATCAGTGATTTTTTGATAACATGATCGAACATTGCTTTATAACCCATTCAATATGCAAGTTGTTATCCTTGTGGCTTATCGATCACTTGATCGATCATTCCTTAATCGATCATTTATTCGATAATTTATATAGTCTGTGTTTTCACAGAATATACTTTTCTTTATTGTTCATCGATAAGTTTATCCATAATCTATTTATCGATAAAGTTTTCGATCATTATTCCTTGAAAATCTATTTCCATATCACTCTGTTTATCAATAGTCTAATCGATCAACAAGTGTTCAATCACTTGTTCGATCATGGACTGATTTTAGTAAAACTTCAATCAGTTATGATGATTCTCAAAATATGTTGTCTATTTCATTCAAGCTTTTCTCAGCCTTCATGTTTGTTTTAATTCTCTATTTTAAGAGTTTCAGAATCAAAAGAGACCTTGAGCTTCCTTTTCTCTGTATACCTTTATGAAGTCACCGTTTCCTTTTATCGATCACTTGATCGATAAATCAATGATCCATCACTTGATTGATAAACATAGTTACCTATGTCAAAAGTTCTCACTCTGAATAAGCTATAACTTAATCGATCAACCAGTCATCGATCATTATTTCGATCAAGGATGTCCAGTTATTGTTCAAAACATTTAGCAACTGATTGATTCTACTTTTAAACTATGAATATTCATCTTATCATTTGTTCGGTCTGATCTAAGTCTTACTCTACAAAGAGAAACTTATTGAATTAAAGTACTATTGCAGATTACGAAGAAGAACTCAACGGCTCTGTAACGGTTGCTTAGTAGCCTATAACCTACCATGTCAGAAGCATTAATGGCGAGAACCGTTGCAACTGGAAAAGCACGCAACCGAACTCTCAACGGCTAGAAGCTCTTCTGTCTAACGGTTATTAAACTACCTCAACTATAAAAGGCGTGAAGAAGCATTAAATGAACAGATTGAATACGCGAGCTACCCTCTGCTAATTATTTACTGTTACATTCAATACTCTGTTCTAGCATATACCGAGCTTCAGTGTTTCTCATTTAATTACTTTGTGAGAGAGTCTGTATCTATCATCATAAATCACGTTCTGTGTGAAACTCAAGAGTGTAGACTCTTGAGAGGGATTGTAACCTTACGGGTAGTAAGGGGGAGTGATTGAGCGAATCAACTACTGTACTGCGGCACCAAGAGCCCGATTA